TCTCTCCTTTCCGTCGTCGATATGCTTACTCGGTCGACTCGCGATCGCTTCACGATCCAGTTCTCCTCGATTCGCCCGCTGGTCAACAAACGACAAGGAAATGACACACCGAGACCTGAATCTTTCCAATGGAGTTTACAGTTTACACCATCGTTCGCCTTTTTTCCTCCTTCCGTTGTCTTTTCATTTTAAATACTAGTTCACTCTCAATCACTGTACCATGCTTATTTTCCCGCACTGTACTCCACTGCCCGATCTTTTCTTCGACTCACCATGAAACGAGTACGGGGTGGTGATCACTGTCACCGTTGTTGTCGTTGTCGCTGTCGCCGTCGTCGTCGTCGCCGTCGCCGTCGCCGTCGCTGTCGTAGTCTCCGTCGTCGCCGTCGCCGTCGTCGTCGTCGTCGTCGTCGTTGTAGTCACCGCCGTGCCTCTATACCGAGGCGTAACCATAGCGATTACCGATCGATTTGGTCATGCGCAACCTCGCTTATATTTTACGTATCTGCCTATGCATGTGTATGCAACGTAAAAGAACCGTCCTCCGTCGTTTCTTGCGATTTCACAAATAAACAATTCTGTGACACGCTGTACAACGTTTTCCCAACCAGCCGTCCACAATCGGTCTTGGTTACTTTTATTTCCTGTTACCCTATTAGAGTCTCCTATTAAATCACTCGACAAAATCTGACCGCATAACGTACAATTAACACTTTGCATTCCTAGCCAAACTAAACTTGTGTATCGCATCCTACGCGTACGCGCGTGTCGCATGCCTCTTCGTAACCAATTGCAGCTATCGCAGAATCCTGAACGCATCGCGCACAGTCTTGTCGACGGAACGTACAGAACCAAAGTTTTCTGAACGAAACGAAACAAAGGAATTCAAACGAGTGGTGCGAAATGTCGACAGAAATTCGAATTCAAACATCGTTTGTTGCTTTGTCCCGCGCTGCATCGTGATTGGTTCTACTTACCGAACTAAGATTCCGAAAGCTCTCGTACGCGCTGAAACTTGCGACGATACCCCAGCATCGCTGCGAGTGATGGGTTTCAGTCTTTCAAGGCCGCGATACAGCTTGCGGTCAAACGATATGTGAAACAGACTCGAACCCATCGCTGGTAGCGATGCTTGCATCGCCAGCTGTTTTAACGTGTACGAGGACCTTCATGGACAAATCTGACGAACGCGGACCGCACATGTAGGAAACAAAACGAAACTTTCCACTCTCGTTCGATTACAATATTTTTATTCCTTTATTTCTTCAAGTAGGTATACACATCAATCAAATATATTAATAAAAATCAACTCGCCGTTGGCTTCAACTTTTCACTTTGTTTCTGTAGATTGAAGAATATCAAATTTCTTTCCTCCTTCCTTTTCGAACTTTATACCAATTCTAATAATAACAATAATGCTTATAATATCAAACTTATAATATAATAGCAAAATGCTGACATTCGATTGATTTTGTCTACTTTGTGATCAATCTTCTTACGATGAAACCATATTCCAAGTAAAATGATCAAATTATACCTTGAAATTATACATCTAAACGAGGAATCTTCTTGTATCGATCAACCAAAATTACTTGAAACATTCGACAAAAATTCACTTTCAACAACGAAAACAGGCATTTCGGCATAACCTACAAGATGTGATCAAACAGTTTGGGGATATAATTTGCGAATCATGATAAACGCAATATTAGAATCTGTTACTCGATTATACCATTTTCTATTGCTTATTCTACAAACTCGTCCAATTACCTTCGTCAACCATGTCCTTTATTTAGTGTAGTTTAGTTTAGCTATCGGTTCGTTTTACTTTACGGAAACCGTGTTTCATCAGTATTAAACAATTTCTTAGAAAAGCAATTTCTTCTTCAAGAACTTTTCATTTGAAATTCAATTTTATTCAGTTTAATATACTTCTGAAAGTTGAACAAACTATAGATAGAGCTTTATTAAATCTCTATTCTAACCAAAAGCCTTTTAATGAGAAATATTTTAGAAATGTAAAAGTCCTTTCCGAAGTCGAAATCACTATTGAAAATTGACGAAAATGCGAAATATTTGTGAAACGTATGATATCGCAGCTGAATGAAGATCATAACCGATAAAACTTGATGCGTTTGTAAAATAAGCAACAGAGAATCACATTCTCAAATTTCATATACTAAAATTCTACATTTCGCGTTTTGAAACTCCTACCCCCGTATTTTTCTGTTTTTAACGTATCTCATATTTTCCAATTACAATGCTTTCTAGTGTTTCATCGTGATTAATCCGAAATGACGCTAAAGAGGATTGCATGGAGTTTAAGAGTAACATTTGGAAGTATTCGATCGCGATCTGTTAGTCAGCTGTCGACGAAACATAATGAAAATGTTGAAGATAAAATGCAAGCTTGGCAGATACATTCCTATGGTGGTTTAGAAGAACTCAAGTTTTCAAACGTCAGAATTCCAATGATAGCTAGACCAACAGATGTATTGGTAAAAGTTGAAGCGTCTAGTGTAAATGGAATAGACATTGCTATGACAAGTACACAATTTCTTCTTACTTACCATTTTCCAATAACCCAAGCTTAAACGGATCACGTGCAGCATTCATTTTCGTTGTGGCATTTATCAGGAGGATACGGAGCAACAGTCTTAAATTTCATGCGAAGGGCAAAAAATCTTACCAATGGGCGATACGAGAGTTTGGAACTTCCATTGACATTGGGCAGAGATTTTTCTGGTACGATAGCTTCCAAAGGACACGGTGTAGGTGACAGATTAAAGTTGGGTGACAAAGTGTGGGGTGTTGTTCCAGTTGAACAACAGGGTTGTCATGCAAACTATGTAATTGTAGATAGTGCTTTGGTAAATATTAATTTTTTTTATCTACTCAATTATTGGCAGACAGAAACATGATAGTATAACATGTCTACCGTCTAAGGTATGCGAATAGTGTAAACTGATGTTTTCGCTTAGGTCGATTTACATCCTAAAAATATATCTTACATCGAGGCAGCTAGTATATTATATGCAGGGCTTACAGCATGGTCTGCATTATGGCTTACCGGTGGATTGTGTTATAAAACTGTTATACCTTCCAGAAACAACAATAGAGTTTTAATATTGGGTGGTTCAGGTGGTGTAGGAACACTGGCGATACAGCTCGCAAAACTTTGGAACATGCATGTATGTTTTGTGCACGCTCTATGCTACTTATTCGTATTTACACGTACTCAAAGATCTTACAAAAAAGAAATTGATTTAGGTTGTAACCACTTGCAGTAGCGACGCCGTTGATCTAGTTGAAAAAGTAGGAGCTGATGTTGCAATCGATTATAAACTGAATGATGCAGATTCCAAAATAAGTATGGAAGGACCGTACGTAATTTTTTTTACCAACAAACATAGTGTAATACATAGGAGATACAGAACTTCACGATAATCTCTGGCTGTAGATACAACATAATTTTGGATTGCGCTAATCAAGGATTGCATCAAATACGCTCGAAAGGTTATCCTCACTCTACATACATAACGTTGAATTCACCGTTATTAAAAAATATCGATGAACACGGACTGATTGCCGGTGGTGTGAAAAACATAGGAGAGTTAATCAAATATAATGTTCCATCCATCGGAAACAAAGGTTTCGTAAAATGGGGCTTTTTCGTACCTTCTCAAATAGGAATTAGGACTCTTCGAGAATACGTAGAAACTGGAAAGGTACATTATTTATTATCATATAAAAGAGTAAACACATTGATATGGGTTAATTATAGGACTGGCAATTATTATTTGATAATAATGCGTAATTAATTTTAGATTGTTCCTGTGGTTGAAAAGGTATATCCATTTCAAGAATTACCGGTGGCGTATAATCGGGTGGCTCGAGGCCACTTACGGGGCAAAATTGTTATTGATATGAGATAGCGGAAAAGAAACCTTAACAAACAGAAACTGCGTAATTCGATTAAAATAGTATATATTTTACATCAATAGAAATTCATTTATATTTTTTGTACAACACTTTGTATGTTCCTTTTCGTAACGCGTAGCGACACATCAGTTTCGATGCCCACTTTATCTCGAACTTCGTGCCAACAAACTTCAGCGATTTCCGTTGCTCTTTCCTTGCCGTTTTTCAACACTTCATTCAAATATACCGGTTCCTTGATCAATCTTGAGAATTCTTCTCGTATTGGATGCAATTTTTCTATAATTAAATCTGCCAATAATAATTTATATCTGTTTGAAAGAAAAAAGCGGAAAAATGAAATGAAACTCCAAACGATGATTAGAAAATGTACGACAGAAAATTTTCGGTCTTCATACTTTCCAGTGTCCAATCCTTTGACTTCCAAACATATTTGATCCGGCATTTTACCAGTCAGCACAGAATGGATGGTGATCAAATTGGCGACGCCAGGACGTTTCTCTGGCTCGTAAGTTACCTCGGATGTAACATCTGTGATTGCCTTTTTGATCCTGTCTAACAAAATGTCTGGCTCATCCAGAATGTTTATCTTGCTCTTCGGATCGTTGCTCGATTTAGACATTTTCTTTGCAGGATCGCGCAGAGATTTTATTCGTTGACTCGCATTCTCTGTGATACAATGATACGTGTGTGTGCGTGCGTGTATAGTCGTTCACATATCTCCAGAGAGAGTATGCGTGCATGTATGTTTATCCATTGTAAAATAGTTTACCATTTATCAAGGGATTTGGTATGCAAAAAATACAGCCAAATTTCTTGTTAAACGAGACTGCTAACTCTCGTGCTAATTCAACATGCTGAATTTGATCTTGTCCACAAGGAACATGGGTTGTTCTGTATAATACCGTTTGTTTCAATTAACTTTTTTGAGAAAGTAATTTCAATGAGAACAAGTATTTGTTCCATTTCATACAAAACATTTACCTATACAGTAATATATCGGCTGCCTGTAGAACAGGATAGATGTATAAACCTAATGGGATATTTTTTAATGTTTTGCTTTTCTCTCTAAACTGAGGTAAACGCCCTAATCTCGCTAAAGTTGTTACACACCCGAGCACCCAACATAACTCTGTGTGCATAGGCACAGCAGATTGTTGAAACAGTATACTCTTTTTAGGGTCTATGCCACAAGCTAACAATGTTGCCGTCGTTCTTATTATGCTGCCGTGTAATTGTTTAGGATCCTAAGATATATGCTTTTAGTGGAGATTTTGCGATTAAAAAGTTAAATGCACGAATATTTTTATACAAGTATATATTATTATTTTTTATATGTATGAAATTGTAATGTTCTACATGTTCATTTCAAAACTCACGTGCGGCATAGTCATAGAATGCAAATCAGCTACACTCCAAAGAACATTTTCCTCTTCATCCTGTAATTGTACCCACTTTTTAATGGTGCCCAAATAATTACCTACATGAATATCCCCGGTAGGTTGAATCGCAGAAAAGATTCGTTTCGGATAATTACATGTTGAAACCTGTGAATTTCACCTGGTACTTTATACATTTATTTTATACATTTCAAACATTAGCTACATAAGTTTCAATGTATGAAAATTTAACCTTGCGATTGCACTGTTTCATGTGCATACACTTGTAGGTGATATTCCGGAATACGAAAATATTTGTGAGTGGCGTAAACATCTAAACAATAATTTTATCAACGGACTCGTCAATTTAAATCTGTCGTAAATCCTTCAAAGGGTGTATCGTTTAACGCATGGGTAATATCAGGAACAAGTCAGTATTCAGAGTTCTGTATACATTTTATTTTTCTTTCGCGTGTGCCGAGTTATACGTGTATTTACAAATGTAAACCTCTTACGTAGTTTGTGCGCATGCACTTATTTACACACTAAGCAAGCACACGATTTAGCGGCCGCCAGCGGGACGGCACAACGGCAAAAGGGGTCACTCTCTACGAGCTTTGTTTATCGTTCTGATCGATTACGTGACGTAACTTGCATTAAAGGTTCCCAAATCGGTGCCCGTGGTGTCACTGTAATGACACTCTTCTTAACGAAAAGTTACCCCTCTCTGTACCCAAGTACTTTCACCTGTTAACACTGCATGGAACTGCTCCCATACATAGTCTCGGGCAGCTCCTTAAATAGAGGTACTGGGAGAACGCTGTTGCCGAGTTACTAGCGCGAGGGGAGCAAGTTAGACACCCAACGGGTTACGTGTAACCGTATCGACGAACTTATTGGTCAGCTTTCATCTTTTCGCGTCTCATTTTTAATACTAATTTGCTATTGATCGATACGATTACACAGAACCAATCGAAACCATAAACAAAATCCCTAGCTCTCGCTAGGGACTCTTCTTGCGACAACGTGGAGTAAACGATAGGTGTCTATCCTATACCTCGTCTGTGGCTTGAAGCGGTTTTCATAACAAACACAATGGTGTACAGATGTGTCGTATCTTCCTTATTCGCGTTTCGCGATCAAAGAAAATCCCCACACCTCTAGCCCCTGTGAACCACGTGATCACGTTACATCCATACCAGTGCGGCCAGATCGGGGAAATTGAGGGGAATACGGTTTATCCTCTCCTTGGTCTTACCTATGGGTTCTGAGGTGGTTGCGGGAGTTGTTGGGGATACTCGCTGACGAGGAACGAGATAGTAGAAGGGGTACAGCGGAGTGGGGGCAAAAGGTCGTTTCACCTTTTTCTGGCTTCACTGTTCCATACGCATGTCCTTCGATATTCGATGAAAGAATTTGCAATCCCAGCCGTTGTAGGACAGCTGATCCGATGGTATTCGAACGTGCTGCATCGTGCATCCGTTGGTCGTCATGAAAAAGTGACTAATCGCGTTCAAACCGTACGAATATTGCAAAGTTTTGTTCATATCCGAACATAAAAATTCTACGTACAGTAAAACGTCTTACATCGCATGGTGAAACGTTCGAAAACAATGCATCGATTAAATTGTTCGTCACTGCTGGACGGGTGCGAAACGTATTGAGAGACACGAGAACAGGAATCTTACGATTTATTTGGGTTGTTTCGAAACTCGCTCATCGGATCTCAGTAAGCGGTTATGGTATATCTTTCGGGTGTCTGGGGCATGGGAGAGACTAAATCACAGTGCCACAACACAAATAGTTCTTCCTCCTTTCCGCAGGAGAATGATGAAGAAGTCGCGTTGTTGCCACTCAAGAATCAGGTGAGTCGCGCGTTACTCGCGCCATTGTACCAACGAAATTATGCGTTGGATGCTCATCACTTGTTTGTCAGCTTTGATACTTTTGTAGCCTATGTTTGATTTAATCGTGGATCATGCGAATACATTTGTGCTCCAGCGTACTTCACGATTAGGTTGTTATTATTTTTTATTTTTTGTAAAAACAACAAAAATGGAATTCACGAATATGTTTTCCTTTTCTCAATTACGCACACGTATTCACATAAAGGCACAGAGTTACACTTTTCCGTTTCATAAATTTATCATCGTATAACGAAAGTACGTTGGTAAGGATCATCACAGATTGTCTCGTGATAACTGTTCATCTCGTAAATATTGTAAATTTCATATTTTTTATTTTCTCTAGGTCGGCGGACATACTAGATTGCTCTTACTTAACCAGAATACAATTTGCAAGCCACTAAATTGTAGAGAACTTGATTTTTATCAAAACATTCCACAAGATATTCAAATCTTTGTGCCAAAATTTAAAGGTAAGTCTGTTTCAATAATCGTAGGCTGTGTCCACCTTTCAATGGTTAGTTTGTAAGTGTACAACAAGTAGAATAATAATGGTGAGAATAATAACGTTCCAACGATAAACGTTTGTTTCACAAATACCATTAGGTATCATGCAAGCTTCCAACAGTGGGGAAGTGACATTGGAAAAACGATATAGTCCTAGCTTCAGAGAACAAGATAGCAGGCAACAAGGACACAGTTCGACTAAAAGAAAGAGAGACGACGTTCTCAGGTATACCTTTGCAAAATATATATTGAACGATATATATAACGGCTATAGAATTTTTTACGCTATGGAACGACAATAGTATTTATTCAATTGTTATGCGTATTCTTTCATGGCTGCTTCAGAATGAAAATTCATAGAGACAACACTTTAATGGGAATACCAAAACCAGGAGTGCATTTGGATACCACACCCAACAGACAGTGTACGTACGCGATACGTTCTCAGTATAAACGGCTAGCACCAGAAACTTGTTGGTAGATTGCGGACGTTACTGCGATACAATTATATGTTTCACAGTAATTGATCTCATAGCATAAATTAATTGATAATTCTACGAGATTTTATAAAATTTTCTGTTACATTGTTTTGCTTTATAAGACTGTCTATTCCAAATTATTCCGATTCCGAAAGATTCTTATGAATGGAATGTAAAGCGATAATCAAAGTAGCAAAGGAATTCATTATAAGTTCGTGCCTTTATTATTTGCGAATAGTCGTACGATTCTCCTGTGTGAAAAAAAAATTTATATATATATATGTATATGTATACGTATATATAGATTTTCTTTTATTGGAGAACATAACATCGCGGTACACACATCCGTGCATCCTGGATTTAAAAATGGGGACCAGGCAGCACGGTGACGATGCATCCGCTGAGAAACGCAGCAAACAAATTGCAAAATGTGCTGCCAGTACATCAGCTTCGTTAGGCGTTCGACTATGCGGGATGCAGGTTCGTTGATACCTTATTCATATTTTCAATGCACAGAATGGACGCATTTAGTCGTCGCTTAACGGGACAAGATGATGTGTTCATAGCAGTGGGAACAGTAATTCCGCTTCCATCGTACAAGTAACAAATTTTATTTGGTAGGTTTATCAAGCCGACACCAATCATTATGTCAAGCGAGACAAATATTGGGGCAGAGAATTGAACGAAGAAGGTTTCAAGGCAGCGTTGTATCGCTTTTTTCACAATGGTTTTCGTTTGCGAACATTAGCAATTGAAAAAGTTGTGTCCAAGTTGGAACAGTTACGTCGCGCAATCGAAAGACAAAGTAGTTATCGATTTTATTCGTGGTAAGTACAAGCCCATTTTAAATTATTTGTTTCTGTTTATGTAGTATTTCGGTCGATTCGTTTAAAATTGCATACAACGATTATCGCAAGATATTCAATGGTCAAACGAATCAACGGTTAGATTACCTCTTTCATCCCCGATCGGATTAATAATTAACGGTTAATGCTAAGAATTCACGAATAAAGACGAATCTCGCGATTGTTTCGAAAGGAAAGCGTTTCGAATGTCTGAATCTCGGACGCGAGATTCAACGTTTTTCATTTCCAGTTCGTTGCTGATCGTGTACGAAGGATACGAGGTGAACGATTTTTCGGGGTTGAATCATTCCTCGTCCGCTTTACAAACAGAAGGAGAATCGACCAATTCTAGTTTCGTCGACGACGTTGTCGCAAATACTTCGGAAGTGTGCTACGACGCGGATACAAGCAACAGTTCCACGGACTACAATCTTTCAGTCCAGGAAGAAATCAGTCAAGCAACTTTGCACAAAGGATTCGGTGAAGCAGCTGCAAGAGGAGCCAAGAATGCCGCTTTCTTTTATCCTCCAAGGTTTGTTACGATCAACTATTTTTCATTTATTTACCGACCTATTGTAGACCTGGTCGATAATTTTCTACAGGAAAAGGAAAGAAAAAGCAAAAGAACAGAAAAGAAAAGAAAACGGATAATCGGTCGCTTCGTTTCATTCCGTTTCGATTCGATTCGAAGAGCAAATTTTTCATTGTTCGCGAAATAAGAGATTCTTTGTTTCAAGCTTGTTATGCTCAGGGAGATGTCGCATAGCGACCTTCTGTCGATTTTTTCGAATCTGTTTCCCTGTTAACCTGTTGCCTTATGGTTTGTTTCGTAACGTACAGTTACTACGTTCCTCGTAATTTCTCAAAAGAAAAAGAAAAAGAAAAAGAAAATCTGTAAATTTTCACTTATTCGAACCTTTTCGCCGTAACCGAGTAGGCTGTCAATACGCTGTCGTTGTACGGATCAATAGCAGAGAGAATTTACGTATTGTACTTGAACACCTTACCGTGGACCGAGGTCTGATGTCATTTGACTCAAACACTTTGATGAAAACAATTACACGCCAGAACGATTAAATTTGAAAAATAGACCTCTTACAGATACAATTTTTAGTGGATAATTTTGATAATGCTTAATAACTAGTACACAAACAGCGTTCAACGATGGATGATTGTAGTTTACCTTTAGTATACAACGACCGATCGGAAATATTAATGACGGGAAAACAGTAGCTGATATTCTTCAAAATCTCAAATTGAAACGAATTAATGATATTCATGTTTACCAGTTTAAATATAATGCTTTGATGATGAGTCCGAGTCGATGTAATAAGGCAAACGGTTATAACGAATGCAAGTGATTAGCAACGTTTCGGGAGCATTTCGCGATTGAACGGCTTTTTCTTTTCCAATGTTTGCGAGAAAACGAGGAGAAGGAGGAGAGCGAGGAGAAGGAGAAGAAGGAGGAGGAGAAGGGGGAGGAGGAGGTGGGTCAACATTATTACGTTGATCTCGGACGGCAGAACGAATAAGTAGCCTTTCTATCACGACTCGGCACAGAACGATTCGAATTGATTGAAATTCATCGCGATTTTGCTATCGTAGTACCGTTCTCACGCAAAAATCAATGGTGTGCGGACAAAATGTTGTTACTCGTCCGTACGATTTAAGGGATTCATGTTCTGCATCTTACTAGATCTAGCGGAAGGAGTCAAAGATGGTAAATCGTTACAGGTATTTAACCCTCGGACAGCGGAGTCCTTTGATCAGGCGTGTAGCTAAGCAGGACGATTCTGATCCACATAAGTTGGAGAAGTCAGCCGCATACTACTATAATTGTACGAGCGTATAACAAGACCAGATTCACACTATCGGTTCGTTTTCGATCCGCTCGCGTCCCGCTTAACATTCCCTCGTTGTTCAGTGTTTACTGTTTCCGAGAAACGTGGACGGAGCAAAGTCGAAGAGCGAGGTCGTACCGAGACCCGTAGCGCGGAGACGCGCCTCTTAAACAGTCGAATAACATTCGATCGAACCCCGAGCGTATGAGTCGAGACCGGGTCGAGAGCTGACCGATAGTATGTATCGGGCCTAAGCCGTATATACTATACAATGTATAGTTGCTTTTACTCTGCGCCAACTACGAGAGAATGAAACTGACCGATATGTAATTAAAGGGGGAAAATAGGTGACGAAGGTACTTTAAGAAAACTCGATAGAATAATAAGAAGATACTAAGAATAAAAGGAAATAACGTATTAGGTAATCCAAAGATTTCTCGATGCTCCACTGCTTTATCGATTCGATTCGATGCGTCGACCGACTAGAACAATCCTATATAATATATAATACAGAAACTCGTTGAAAGGATATTTCTGCGAGGTAAGACGAGACCACCAAGCGCAGCGAAAGGTACGATAGAAAGCATTTTGTAACGTGGTCGGGGGAAACTGGATGTTCTTCGGATCTTTCTCCAGGCGATTATTGCTTATTAATTATTCGAACTCTGTGCAAAATTATTTTATTATTTTGGACAAAGCTGTTGTACGCGTAGACGTGAAATGAGCTTTTCATTGGCAGTTGTTTTCTCTTTTCTCTTCATCGAGAGAACATTTCGAGAAAACGGAGTACGCACGGAGAGAATATATCGAGTCGAGAAAGTCATTGAAAGCAATGGCAAGCATTCGAAGGATGAAAGATCAAATAGATTGACACAGTAATAAAATTGGTATTATGGCATAGTCGATATGCGGTCTCTCGGGATGCTGCGAGCGCAACAAGAATGTTCTATCGTTCTATCCTGAATATGCGATGAATTCGTTATTGGAAAGTATTTGTCTTGGCGGCGTGAAGATACGCGCATAAACATGCTTGCCGCTTCGAGTATACCTATGACCTATGCTACAGACTTGGCGCGTGCTATTATCGGTCTCCCATGTGTGTGGATTAAAATGATCCGGCTTCGCTGGCCGAGGGTTAACGGTTGCTCGTACAATCGGCCGGACAGCTTTTCGGTTCTTTCCGGTAGAATTCACCCAACTAGAATCTAACGGGTAATTTGATCATCCGAATGAACCTTCTCAACTCGGTCAAGATGGTACGTTTGTATATTTTGCTGCTCATATCATACTTCCATATGAAATCCCAAAAATCGGCAATAATCGTTTCGTTGGTCGACACGTTGAATGCCGGATGATTTTTGCATGGTTCGCCCGCGGAGCCGGAGTTTTTACGAGAAGAACTTTACCGGTACACAAAATATAACTGTGCGGGTAAAATACAACACTAAATTGTTTAACTGTTGTGCGGGGAATCGGACATCTGCGTACCCATCATTTCTTTCTTTTTCTTTTCTAGACGATTTCTCACATTCTCATACGAGTATGAGAAAAATCGTTCCGAATCTCCATCCTTTGGACGCTTCTACGGCAATATACGTTTCGAAAATAAAAGATTGTAATACGCCAAGTTCGAATAGCCACGAACATTTTGCTCTAGCCCGTATAAATTGCTTTTGCGTTGATCCTGTCGAATATCGCCGCTTTCCGTTACATTGTCATTAACATCGATATACACTTTACAAACAAACGAACAAACGATCCTCGAGTTAATGGAAATATAACGTATCTTATATTGTGGGGCAAACTGACCTATCAGGATGAAAAGGTCATCGAGCACCGGTGATTGTTAACCGGTCCGTGGCATTCAACGTGTAATGTTCAAACTCGAAACGTACCGCATCGAAATCGAAGCGTACGTACGATTTTGCGACTCTTATTAATCCCTTGCCTTATGATTCATTTTCCGACTAAACCCCCAAAAATCACTTTATTGTCGATGCATTGTTCGCGAGAAAAGAAATTGCATGTTCATTGGGGATGTATAGGTTCAATGGTGTGTAAGGCAAGGTCTGGATTAATATTACAGTATTGATAAATCTTCAACCGTTTGAGTGCCAGTTGTTTGACAAATTCTATCGAGGTGTACGAAACGGCGATTGAATTTGAACCACGCGGTCACCTTCCGTAACGCTGAAACGATTCACTGAAATTGAAGTTATTCGGATTTCCACGAATGATTTCGATGCCACTGATATTTATCGATAACGACACTTGCAGCGTCTACACCTCGCTTTTCCTTCCCGTGTCGTTTCCTTCCTTCGTGTAGCGACCAACGCCAGGCGATCGCTTCGATTCTTAAATGCTCCGAGGTCTGCGTTTTCTTACACAGGCGGCGTTGAAATGGCGAAGGTGCGCAAAAATTGACAAACAACTCGGATTAACAAAACGAATCTAAACGTATACTTTTTTTTTTACGCACCAGCGCACGTTTCGACGCGTCTCGATTTAGAAAGAGAAAAATCTTATTCGGTTATCGAACGACTAATGACTTTTACCGTGCGATGAACTCGTAACCGTAGCAGCGAGGAGACCGTTTTCGACGAATCTAGCGTCGACAGCTTGATCGACACGGTGCTTCAACAAACGACGACTCCCAGATACGAACAATGGATGATTTACGGAGGCTCGAACGATGAATTTTGTTTCGAGCAAAGTTCCGATATAGCGGAGGACGTTGGTTCCGATACGGAAATTGGCTCGGACAGCGGCCCGAAAAGACAAAGGCACGTCGAGTGCGCCAGCAGGTAGGCTCTCAGCAGTGGCAGCGTTGCTAATCTTCTCAACGAATAACCAATCGTTTGTTCCACAGGTACACGCCGTCTTCTTATCGGACCAAAAACAAACCAAAGTCTCAAGAAGCGCTCGTCGATGTGAGAATGATTGATTTTGCTCACACAACTTTTGTCCACAGTTCATCCATGCCCTGCAATTCGAGCTCCATGGTTCACCAAGGGCCGGATTGCGGTTTCCTCACGGGTCTCGACAGTTTGAGACGGTTCCTTCTTGAAATTTTGAACGAGGGTTGAACCGAGACAATTTACGCGGAGGACTCCAACGACAAACCGATGTGTACATATTTCCAGTGTAGAATGTTTACGTTGCGAATCCACGTGTGTATAATAAAAGAAAAGAAATAAAGAACTGGCAGAAGGACGGCGAGAAGAAAGGAGAGCAGCATGGAGAGAGGAAAGGTGGGATGAATGATCGGTGGATAGGAAAAAGGAAGAAAGGAAGAAAGGAAGAAAGGAACGAGGTTGTGTGGATATATTTTACAATCAATTTGGATCGCGTCTTCTTTTCTTTTTTAACAAGCACCCTCCAATTACTTTCATTATTCATTCATTTATTGGCCACTGACAAGGGATGGGATGGACGACCAGTCGCGCCGTTTGCTGCGATTTCGTGGCCCGTGGTTTCAAATACCAATCGTATGAACAAAAGAAAGCAGACGAGTATTTTCTTGACATCGAAGAACAGAACAAACTTTTCTTTCGAATTACAACCGTACACATCCTTATCCCTTGTCTACGACGAGACATGCGATATCGTTGATATTACTCATTTGTTCGTACGAACCGCGAATCGGACCGGACGAACATAACACGTCGACGAACACGATCAACCTAGTGGAATATAAACATCAAGATGCTCGGGGAAATCAATGTTTCGATTCGTTTACGTTACTCATTGCAACGCGCACAATCCAAATAATGTCTATTATTTGTTCGACTTTGTTTCGAGTATATAAGTTTCATTTGATACAATATATTCTTTCTTTGAATTTCATTTAATATCGAGAATCAAGGAAAATGACTACCGAATGTGTTCAGGAGAAAACTGTATAGCGCTTAATTACCACTAGTACGATTAACATGAAAAATGTGTTAAAAACGGTACGTTTTATCCGCGAGTTTCCTATCAAGTTGCTGGTTACACGGCAAATCTCAGTTGGACGACTAAATACAAATACGACGATAAAATGCACTTTATTTTGAAAGAATGTTCCCGCCGTTTTACAATATATGGTTGGTTGTAAGCACAAAGATAGATGCCTTAACGGCGAGAACTGAACTTCATAGTGAATGTAAATAAAAGTAATAAATAAATAAACGAATGAACAAATGGATATAAATAAATTTACTTAAAACATGAATACATAAGTAATTAAATAAATAAAATGACATACATAGTACGAACGTAGATAAATGTAACTATTTTTTTTCTTATTGAAATGAATAAATAAATAACGAAATAAAGAAATGAAGAAATTGGAATAAAATTATGTCAGATTTGTTTTGGGGAATGTTCGGCAACCCATGTAACGCGGTTTGTTTCCAATTTTTTTTAACAAATATTTCTCGCTCCACGCGTTTACTTTTAATCGGATCAGACTAAAAGTTACTCGAGTAAAGATTTTCTGTGTGTACATAGTCTGGTGTGATTACATAGTCTGGGGCATTTTCGAACCTTTTCCCAATATCTGTAATGTGTAAGACAAGGACAGATATAGTGTTCCCGGTGCCACCTCCCTCGGAAAAACATCTCATCAGTCCCTGATACGTACGCGCGAAGCATCAAAACAGAGGAGGTATCACGGGAATGGTGTCATCTAGGGTTGCAGCCCCGAACTACGTGCGCCATGCAAATGGAAAAAAACAACGATATCGGCAACGAATTCATTAATAACTCGACTCTCACGAACAATTTGTGAACATTTGCAATTTAGGATCATAGAACGGACCTTCCCCTAATTTTCCGTAACGCTTTGGATAGTATTTTGTGCCGCGTTAATTATTTATTAATTATTTTCCGAGATGACGTCCCAAGCAACATAGAATTTTTTTTCTGGTGCTCAATATAACAATGAGTTTCTCACTTAATAGGCATAATTGGTGAATATTTGCGACTGAAGAAATTAGAATGTACCGATGGCAACATTCTGGTAGCGGTTTGAATCATATTTGAGTTGCGAGTAAGGAGTTATTAGCGATTTTTTGATGTGCTGGTTGTGTTTCATAAGAACGTATTCAGTAACGCGACTATTCACTTGATAGTGATTTTTTTTTAGTCTGTTTTCTTGTAGATCTGCAATTTCTAACAGTTGCTCCGTTATCTATGTTCCACAATCTTTCATTTGAGCTATCAAAAGTAGTAATTGACCCACGGAAAAGCTGTAGAAAAGCTAATGCAAAGACAGGGGCATATTATGCCTGTGTAAAGACGGTTGCAGTTCGGCAGGAGCAACAAGTTCGGTTCGGTAAGACAAGGACAGAAGTAAGCATCCTCCTTGGAAAAAGCATCTCATCAGTCCCTGGTACGTACGCGAGAAGCATCAGGAGAAAGGAGGTATCCGAAAGTGCGGCATCTAGCGGCGAGACCTAAGAACTACATGTGACATGTCGATAGAGAAGAAATAGACGAAATCAGCGGCGAATACATTATCAATTAAGCTATTACGAATAAATTGTTAACCTTTGCAATATGAGATTGTAGAATGGACCTACCCCTACTTTCTTATGCACCACTGAAGGAACTTTGCGCCGCGTTAATTATTTATTAATTATTTACCGACATGATGTAAGAAGATAAAGTAGAATTCCTACAGGTGCCCAATAAACAATCAAGTTCTTGACATAATAGGCACAAATTGAGAACATTTATGATCGTAGATATTAAGTTAGACCACCACACATATTCAGTAGCATTTTGAACTACATTCGAACAGTAATTAATAAGTTATTAGCGATTATCTAGTGAGTTCACTGCGTCGGTAAAAAAAAAAGGTTGGTGGCGTCATCTAGCGGCCGAGAATTCCCTAAGCTAATCCCTATACCTGTAATGTGTACGACAAGGACAGTCATGCCGTGCGACAAGGACACACAATTACTCTCAAGAGACACCTCCTTGAAAAAGCATCTCATCGATTCCTGGTACGTACGCGCGAAGCATCAGGGCTGAGGAGGTATTCGAAAGTGCGCCATCTAGCGGCAACAGCTACAAACTAAACGCGACATGTCAATGGAGAAGAAATCTACGTAATCAGCAGCTAATTCATTATCAACTATACTATTTCAAAGAAATCGTTAAAATTTGCAATTTAAGTTTGCAGAATGAATCTTTCCCTACATTCCTATTTCGCAGCGGAAGAGATTTAGTGTCACCTTACTTATTTCTCAATTATTACCCGAGACGAGGCCAGAAGGTAACGTAGAATTTGTTGATGGATCAATGGTTAACAATCAATTTTTTCACTTACTAGGGACAAATTGAGAACAATAATGTTCGTAGAAATTAGGCTATACTTTAGAGAAAATTCAGTAAAATTTTGAACCACATTCGAGTAGTAATTAATACGTTATTACCGATTACCTGGTGGGTAGGCTGCGTCGTTAGGAACGAGGATTAGTGGCGCCATCTAGCGGTCGAGAATTTCCGAAGCTTCTCCCTGTGCCCGTAATGTGCAAGACAAGAACAGATATACTGTGCGACAAGGACAGAGATTCACTCTCCGGTGATACCTCCTTGAAAAGGCATCTCATCGGTTCCTGGTACGTACGCGCGAACCATGAGGACGGAGGAGGTATCCGAAAGTCCGCCATCTAACGGCAATAGCTATGTACTAAAGAAGACATATCGATAGAGAAGAAAACTTCGAAATCAGTCGGTAAGTCATTATCAACAAAACTATTACGAATCAATTGTTTACCTTTGCAATTTGAGATTCTGGAATGGACATTCCTCTACTTTTTAATGCAAACACTGATGTAATTTTGTATCGCGTTAATTATTTCTTAATTATATCCCGCGAAGACGTCAGAAGATAAAGTATAATTTTTTACAGGGGCCCAGCAAAGAATGAAGTGGTTGACATAATACGCTTAAATTGTGAACATTTATGATTGTATCATTTAGAGTAAACTGTCCAGAACATGCAGTAAGATTGTGAACAACATTCGAAGAGTAATCAATAACTAAATAGCGATTATCCTGTGAGTTTGGTGCGTCGGTAAGAATGTTGATTGGTGTTGACATCTATCGACGGATAGTTGGAAGTAATTGAGCAGAAGTTTGAGCGTTCTCCCGATAGATGGCGCCACACGTTGTCACTGAATTCAGTGCACCTTTTCGAAAATTGGTAATAACTTGTGAATTACTGCTGGAATCCTGTTGAAACTGCTACGGAATATTCCGGAGGGTCTAGCCTAATTATTGCGATTATAAATATTTATTGTATTATTGTATAGTTGTATCGTTTGTTGTATATTTGTACGATTTGAAAGAATAAAATGAATTTTGCTTTTACTTTTGCTTTTACTTTTGCTTTTACTTTTGCTTTTACTTTTGCTTTTAATTTTACTTTTACCAAGTCACATATTGTTGTATCGTTGCGGAAGGGCGGGGGGGCGGGGGTGGTGGTGATTAGTGCGGAGGGAGTGAAATGTTTTCGTATTCCTGGCTTTTCATCTTTGCTGAATTCCAGGAATTTAATAATCGTTTGTCCGCTGCGACCTTTATTAGGGATGCTTGGATACCGTGGGTGTTTGGGATAATCGTTGGTAATCGGATTAGAGCAGATGTAAGTGACCTCGCGAAAATTGGTTGGATGTTTGCAGTAGATGAATAACCGCAGGTAAGAAAGGCTCTTTCGGGGTAGCTATTATTCGCGGAAATGACTTATTATCAGCGATAAACTGATTCAGAAT